GGAGGAGGAAGTCCCTTAGTCACATCAAAAATGTAGTAACCCGCAACTTGCTTTTTATCCAACGCCTGGATAGCCCACAGACCGTGAAGAGGGGTTGTATATTCCACCACGGTCCTTGCATTGTTCCCCGTCTTGTGAAAAAGGTACATTGATCCCTTCACAAAGTAGGCCACCACCGCGATCTTTGCCGCGTCGTAGTGCAGGAGCTGGTGCAGCACGAAGGACCCCACCGCCAGCGACTTGCCGATGCCGGGCGTTCCAACCACAACGTACGGCCGCCTCAAGAACGTGCTGCCAGCAGCGGTGGGCCAGCCGTCGATATCCTGCTTGAGGACGTTCCACACACGCAGCACCTCCTTGCGCACAAATACGTCCTTGAAAGCCTCCCCAAAGTCTCCGTACGGCCACCCTTTCTCGGACCTGAGCACCAGAAACTCCAGCCGCACACCACTGGCCTCTTCCTCAATCTCTTCCTGCTCAATCTTCGCGATCGCGTCGATATCCCCAGGACGAGGTAGGACGTTCACCTCACCCGCACTCCACATTTTCTCCGGCTCGCTGGAGTTGGCCTCCACCACCCTCATCCCCAGCGGCTCCCCAGCGTGGCCCGACTCCACGTAGCCCCACTTCGCGTCGTACACCGACCGGTATATCCTCTCTTCCCAAGGCAGTTTCTCCAACTCTTCCCGCCTCTGCCTCGCTTCCTCTTCCACCGCCACTGCAAGGGCTGCATCGAGCTTTGCCCGTCCAACAGGAGAAACAATATTCTTCTGCGCAAATTCCCTCCAGCGCTGAAGAGTGTCCACCTCGTGCTCCACAAGCCTGTGTGTATCTTCAATTGCTTCCTTTATGGCCGTGTAGGACGGCGACGCCAGTGTTAGGCGCAGATCATCCTCATTTGCGATAAATGTCTCGGGTTGCGCAACAAAACTCTCAAGAGGGACATTCTCGTTGGCCTCCACGACTCCCCTGCCGCCCAATGTATTACGGAGGAAATCGTTCAATTTAATGTCACGAATTGGCCCTTCTCCCCCAAGCAGTACTCCCTCCACCGTACTGGTGAGGGTCCACGTTGGCCTCTGCTGTGCCTCTCCCACCCTTCTGCGCTGTGCTGCAGGCTGTTGATCGAAACCGCCGCTGTCGGGTTCCGACCTCGCATGCCGCTGCCCCTGCGGTACTGCATTCGCGGAGCTCTCCGCAGCAACGTGAAGTTGTTCCTCGCGCCCCCCGGACATTTTCTCCTTTGCTTTTTCCTTCGTTAGTTGATGTTGGCCTGGGCCGCAGCCGAACGCCAACCACCAGCCAAAAGGAGAGTGAGAATGCGAAAAGGAGAAAAAAAAATAGCCACAGACACACACGGCCCCACGCAGCCACATTCAGCAAGAGAGAGAGAGAGAGAGGTCCACCGCAGCCCACGCACACGGTGCGGGGCACACACACACACACACTCATTGCACGGGGACGGCGCCACTCCGCCCACTGCCCTCCTGCCGGCGCAGCAAAATGAAAACCCCCACCACCGCACCGTGCGTCCCCGCCACGCGCCCACGACGCTCGCCCCTCCCAGAAGAGGGGTGCGCAAGTGAGAGGGCGTGGGGTAACAGAGAGACGGCAGCGATAATGCTCCTTCGCTTCTCGCACTGCACTCGCCATTCGCGCATCTCTCTGTGTGCATCCAGGCGCGGGCATCGCCCACCCACTGTGGAAATGTCACCGCCTCGTTGCGGCGGCATTTTTTGCCGCCAGGCGCTCATGCGAGAAGGGGCAGAGCACACCAGGCGGCTGCCCACCCGCAAGGAAACAAAAAGCCAGGCACGGCGCAATTTTCCTCTCTTCCCTCTCGCTGTGCCTGTTCCCTCCATGCCCACGGAAGGAGGCAGCAGCCTCCACCACACGCGGCGCCGTCAGCAGCGACTACGAAAGCGGCATCCACGTGGGCCACGAAAGTTAGATATCACGACGGCGTGGTTGTGCGTGCCTACAGCTACGCAACGAAAAGAGGGAAAAGAACAAAACATGCGAAGAGGAAAAAAACAACACACAGCAGCGATGCAGTAGAAAAAAGAGAAAAGAGCAAGACCGGGCGAGACGCAAGATTGTATCAGAGCACAAGTTGTTGAAAACCAGAGTAAGTGTGGGCAAAAAGAATTTTTTTCTTTCTTTCTTCTTTTGCTTCTTAATGGCTCCAAATGATTCCATGTTTCTGTTCCGTGGATGGAGTAGTGACCTACAATGGGGAGTACACACGTTGGGCCAGTTCCTATCAAAAAAAAAGCCATGAAAGCGTGCATGTACCTCCCACTTAGCGACCCCTTAAACCAACCAGTTCATACAAGAAAACATTGATAATGTAGCAACAACAAAAAATCCATTGATTTACAAGCAAGCAAGAATGCTGCACAGACGCTGATCGCGTAAGCGCCACCACAAGAAGCGGTGGCTGTTAGGCAGTCACTTTGGCTGCGGGCGCGACAACCACCGGCGGTTGAGAACGTCTTTCAGCGAGCAGACGTCAGGGAAGCGCACCGCATTTTCTCGCCTATTCACATCATACACTGCCACAGAGGCGTTCTGCAGCAAGGCTCTCGTTTCCTGAGCAAAGGTGGGATAGCACCGCAGCGGATGAAACCATTGCGTGTAAAGAAGCAGCTTACGCAATCGGTTACGCCACACTCTAACAGTTCCGGGAAAATGAAGAATCGCGGAAGGCCGAAAGCGACCGTAGCGTGCCGTGAGAAAGAAGGAGTTGTTGTAGTCAAGGCTCAGAAGGCCGTAGCGTATGCGAAGGGCGGGATCCACAACAGGGTCCTGAGTTACGCTCCACACATACAACAGCGCCCAGATGGTCTGGTCGCACCACCACTTATCACTCTTCGCCAAAAGGCTCGCGTAGGCCTTGGACGCCTCACGAATCGCCCACACACGCCCCGCCATTCCGCCAGCACTGAGGTAGCGAAACCCCGAAGGCGGCGATTGCACCATGCGCTGATCTGCAGAAGAGCCCGCGACCTTCCATAGGCGTTCGTAAAACCAGCAGCACCGCTCGTAGTCACCTTCGGGTCCATACTGGACCACGAGGTCTACCTGCGGTGCGAAACAGGGCGGCTCCGCCGAGAAGAGCATGGGGGCACTTGCCTCACCTCGATGCACCGCCGTGGCGTCGAAGGCGTCTGCGCTGGGCGCCGTCGCTGTCACGAAGCCCTCCACCGCCCACTTTGCCGCAAGAGGTCCGGTAAAAAAAGTGTCAGCGCCATCGAACATCACCACCACGTCCTCGTCCCGCAGGCCCGCCTCCTCTATGTAGCTCAGCAGCCAAGATATACGGACTGTGTGGCTGTAATTTCCCCCAAAACCAATCGATACGACCGACACGCGGGAGAGAATGGCGCTCAGCATCATCCTGCACCAGCCTGGGGAGTAGCCTGTCTGAGCAACAACAAATACAACCCTTGGGGCCGCCGTTGGGGAGCGCACCCACGCACCGCCCTGCGTCGGGCTGAAAAGGAACTGCTGCACAGGTGTGCCGGTGTTCGCTGGAACAAGGGCCAGCAGCACCAACGACACAGCAACAAGGGCGCAGAGCAGCACCTGACGGTAGTGCTTGCAATATACATGGGGCAGTGCGGCAAGAGGTGCGCAGAAGCGCATTGTGGCCATGCGCTGTGGCGCGGGAAGGGGCGGCTAGGTCCCCTACAATAGAATCGAGCGCAGCAGGGGAGAGGGAAGGGAGATACGCACAGCAATTAGAGGAGTGGCGGCAGCAGCATGCAGCAGCCACGTCCGCTCCCGCACGCAAAGAGACACCAGCGTGGAGGGGCAAGGCGGCACAAGCCAGTTGCAGCTATTTACAGCAGGCCACGCCGCACACGAACAGCCACACCGTGCAGGGCGCAGCGCAGCCAAAAAAAAAACATCGGTAAGTGTAAAACATTGATGCAACTTCTCGGAGGTAACCCCATCACGAGGCCTCTCTCCACTCCTGTCCCAAACCTCAGAAGGGACCACAACGAATTATCCCCCACCTCCGCAGCACGAGTGTAAGCAAGAAAAGAAAGCAAAAATTATTTGCCACACACATTAAAAGAAAAAAGGGGGAGACTCCACT